TGACTAAACGAGAAAAGGATTCACTCCCTTTTCCAAATGATTTCCTATGTCGAGGAATGGCCCCGTTAGTACTGCGGTGCTCTGAACTGATATAGATATAGGTATTCTCAAGCGCAAGTGCGCTTCAGAAAGAAAACAGATATTTTATCGTTCCAAAATATTTTCATTTATTTACTCACTAAACAATCAAATGAATCATTAGTAATTGTTGGAAAAGCTACCGTTAGCGATGCGTTAGTATTTTAATACCGACCTCGGTGTTTCGATCCGCAAGATCCCTTTTATTCATTCAAAAGCGATAATTGGACTCTATTACGAGATGCTTGCGGCCAATTTGCAGGCACAGGCACATCGGTACGTATCGAAAATTGCACGGTGCGTTATTACACAGTGCCCCTTTTCCGGTAATCGCATAATTGACTTCCATAACACTTATCAACTCGTGTAAGTGAATAATATCGTAATGGTAATGCACGGTGTATAAATAATCCCGCTCGAAAAGCCTTGCTCTTTTCATTGCGGTGTCCAACCGGATCGCAGCTCAGCTACAACCGTAAACAAATTATGAAATCGATTTCCATTCAAGCTCTGTATCGCTATTAATTATCTTTGTATTTCTTTTCTTCATTTTTAACGAATCTTCATTATTCGTGGAAGCACAGGCGGCGAAAGTATTTACGCGCTAACACGCCGGTTTGTCGGCGTCAAATATTTCCACGCTGTATCCAAACAGTATTCACACTAGCGCTTCAACACCGAGGAAACATTTACTCGGTAAAGAAGCCTCGGGGCACGTCGAACCTCGCCTTGAACTTCGAGAATCGATAGCGTAGGCAATTAGACACATGGCACTCTGAGAAACTTGAAAAGTTCGTGGAAAATTCAGTTCGCATCATCTTATACCTCGATTATCTCCCCCGCCACAGACATTTGCATAACGTTGCAACGAGGTTTTCATAGCAATCGCCATTCGGTTAGATTTTCGTGCGGGAATGTCGGTTGTCCTTGCTTTCGTATGCCAGATCGCTCCCCTTCGAAGTAACAGCCGAGGAAACGCATCCGGTGCAGGCGTGCAGCACGCAGTCACGCGTTAGTTCCCCTCGCCTAACTCGCCTCCCTCCCTCCCCCCTTCTCCGTTCTCTGACGAGGCGCTTTTCATTAGGTTTTTGTTCCCAAACGCGTTCTAGCTGGGCGAGATTGCCCCTGTGAGCGCAACCCGGTTATGATCGCTCAACCACCTCGGACACGTGTTCATTATCACCTGTGGCGTGCTTTCACGTGCGCCAAGATCCTGTCCAAGTTTGTTGATTCGTGTGAAAACGATACCAAGGCGATTCTTGCGAATAGGATCTGAAATCATTAATTTAACTTGGATTACAGCGAGAATGAGTGGATTAATCTACTGGATCTCGACTTACACGTGACTTCCAGGTGAAAATTCTATAAGGGGAAACTTGTACCGTTCTGAGAAAGGTGAGAGTCACCTGCCATCTAGAGGCAGAGGACATCCATCAGGTAGTTTCTGGAGGATTGGTCAAGGGCAACGCCTGCGGAGAGGCAACTCAGTGTTCGGATACTTTTAAGCGGTAGTATATATGAAACACTTGTTGGTTCCTACAGTCTGACTCATCCTTCAAAGAGCCAGGTTCCTCAAATTATTCTTTGATTATGCATCGACACATGTTTACTATCACCTGGTGACTCCATGTTACAGGCCACGCGTTACCTGAATACGTTTATATATTCATGAGATACAACCCTAGCAAGCTACTGGCGACAACGGTTAATTAGATTTCGTTTTTGGATGCCCATTGTTTGCGTCTCTGTCGCCCAGACGAAGAATATGATTGAAATTGTGCCGGTGTTCTTCAGATGACATTTTCAAGGACCTCGATCGATTGCTATAGCTTCCGTGTTGTCAACCAAAGTGATAGACTTGGTCTTCCTAGAATTTCCTCGTAACTTAACTATGTCAAGTATCAGTTAATCAAAATTCGATTAATCGAACTCTCTTCGTGCACCAGGCATCTTGGTCTTAGGTTCAAATTCTGGATGGGTTTCGATTTTTCCTCAAAGAATAGGGGCATTCGTCAAGATTTCTTTCACAAAAAAAAAAAAAAAAAAAATAAGATGTATATTTCCATGCAGCACAGCACCTGTGGTGTGTTGAATAAAAGTTCTTCATTCATAAAAGTTCGATGTTAACGATCACTAGTATCAATCCAGACCAGATTTCCTGTCTTCCCCCTAGAGCTTGAGAGCAAGGATATTCAGGCTTTTCAACGATAGAAAGTGAAATTGTCTCGAGTCCTGGAACAGCAGAGCAAGTGGAAGGCCTGATGGGAGCCCAGGTGAAATGTCTTGGCTGTTGCCAGTTGAAACTGCTTTCCAAACGGACGTGTCTCGTACCCGGAAACCTCAAGTTTACACGTTCGCTGGCTTCTTGGGACTGTGAGATCTTGATTGATGCCCTTGAACTGTTGGATGCCCATTAGCGTGCATGGGAAACTCTTACTTGTATCGGTTGTTATTGTATATGGTGATACGACCATTGTGGCGAGCTGTTGCTTTAACATTCCCCTGGAGAACATTAAGGGACCCTATACTCTGGACTCTTATAACTTATAACTGTGTAGACCCATTGTATAGCCATTGTGCGGGATCTTTAAAAGTCTATAAATATCCTTTGCCGACTATAAACGCATAAAGATTTCGAATTCATTCTCCCAAAGTTGATACAAGAGAAAATATGATTTCTTAATGGAATAGTTTGACTAAAAGTCTCTGGTGCCTTAATTATAATAAATTTAGTATTCTCAGTGCCCGTCTCTTTAACAGAAGTTCCGAAGAACAAGGTGAGGGTGTTCGAAGAGTATGCAATTCACTCGACACCAGGTATACAACAGAAACGACGAAAAGTCCAGGACGTTCGCGTACGTGCCGTGTTGCATAACTAATGACGCGGCGATCGGAGAACGATAGATCGGCTTCTCTCGCTATCTGAATAATAATTTGGCTTTTTCACCGTAGGGGAGTCGCGTTGTCGACCCGTTCGACGTGAGAAGGTTCGAGCTGCGAATTTGCATATAAACGCCGCCTCTAACGTTACCTCCGCGCCATCGTTACCGCCGAAAGGTAACGGTCCTTCTTTGTTCGTGCACACGGTCATTAGCAATTATTAGCAGTAATTTTCGTGAGTCGTGAGATGCGGACAGGATCGATCAATCGGGACCCTTGGGGTCACTATTTTCAAGAGCTTTGTTGCTTTGGAAGTATTTCGGTCTTTCAAGATTCCATCATCTTCTTCGTTAAAAAAATAAGCGAAACCGCGTTTAAGTATCGGGTCGAGAGATCGGTATTGCATCTAACATAACGCATCGGGGCTCTTAGCCCGAGAAACGGCGATATAAATTATCGACTCGACGCCCCCGCGGTTGAGTAAGAGCCGGCCACGGCGTTCGTAAAATTGGCCGGGCACGTTTACTTTGTTACACAAACGGGAGAAAGAAGGAAGCGGGTGATCCCGGACTCGGGCGAATCTGGAACGAAGCCCGTGTATCTCTCTTACGGCTGGCGGAACGCGGCTCTATCGAACCTCTTCATCTCGAGAAGCTCGACCTTTGCGAAACCTGGAAGTCTGGTATGATCGACTGCGCGGCTATCCGCCCGAACGATCTTCGATATTGGGTTAATTATTTTTTAGCGACCGTCTGGCGGCGAGCTGCGCTGGCTCGTGGTAGCAGCCAACCAGGAAAACCATTACTCTCGGGGAGAAATCCGGAAGATTGCTTTGTCGAGCGCCCAGTGGGGTGTGGGCTACAATGTGGTCGAATTGTGCAATCGATCTGCTTCAGGCTGTTAAGACTTTCAAGCCATGGAAAACCTTTAAGATTTGGAGAATATTGAGGACATGAGGGACACTCAAGACTTTCAATACTTTCAAGGCATACAAGGCATACAAGGCATACATGGACTTTATACAACAATTAATTTCACGAAAGGAAAATCAATTGACATGTTCCTTCAACGATATAAAAACTGACTTATTTGACGAATCAATTTAATAGAAATGGAGAACAAATGATTAAATACTTCAAATCGAATACAATAATCCGTAAAAAAAAGCTTATCATGTTGTTAATCTTCAAGAATTGATTTCGTTCGACCACGTTTGTAGAAGTCTGTTCCACCGTGTAGTGTTACAAATTCGGTACAGTTTAGCACGATTGAACGTTCGCCGGTTAATCATGATCGGGATTCGAAACGTAGTAATTCATCATGATTCCGAAACGGTCGTTAGCAGACAGTTGTTAAACGTTCGAGGAAAAGGGGAAGACGGATTTCTCCGCACGTTCTTCAAATCTGACACAAACGAGCTGCGTATGATATCCTTTACGGCTCGCCTGGAATACGGCCTCTATCTTAATTCGCGATCTTAATACGTCATGCCATCGCGATCGTCCGACGCGTCAGCGTCACGTGTCGCTGGTGGATACCTTCGTCTTCTTCCACCTGCTTCGGAGCGGCGGTTTTTGTCGCGTGATGCCTGTATCGTTTCGTTCCCATTCCCACTGTCTCATTTAATATCTATAATCGTCCTTTTCCATCATCGTCCCAGTTCCCCCGAAGTCTCGCCAGATAGACAGTTGTTTATCTCGACAGATGACGACTTTTCAGCGTTCGCTTCAGTGAAAGGAGATCCTTGAGCTTTGATGAGGCTAGATTTGATTAGAATTCCTCTTCATTGAGTGGGTCGAATCGAGCAGTTTTATAGATACCGATGAAGTTCGGAATGTGAGTAGGTAGACTTAGTGGCGACAGGTGCAAAAGTTTATTTTTCAATTATGAGAGAGCTGAAGGTCTCGAGAAGGGACTCTTGTGAATAATTGTTTTTACTTTTTGGATTTATCGAGTACTACGTGAAACGAAGTAATATCCATGATCTAATCGAAATTAAAATTTTTTCTTTTTACTAATCATATCTTTCGTCTTTGTTTCAGGTGAGTCACGAAAGCCTACCATAGACAAATCCATAGCTTCCAATGATTCCAAATGAAGTTTCCCAACACAGGTATTTGTCATTATCACTGCTTTATTAATTTACTTTACCATTTTAGTGTGCTTTCGTGCACATCAAAATTTGTCAATTTTTCCAAATTACTAAATCGATGTAGCTCCTTAATTATACCTCCACTAGATTCAGTGTTTATCTCTCGAATAAAAAATAATTCACGGGTTGGTTAGCTGACGTCACATGTTGTACACCTTCTCCGTCTCACTCTCTCTTTTCCTCTCTCCGGCGGTCGCTCTCGATCTCACCAGTTCCCGGTTTCCCTGGCGCGCAGTGTCAAGTTCATCGTTCAACGCTCGTCCTACGTGTGCTAACGCACTCGGCTCGCTTCCTCTTCGGCCCGTAATTATGCCTCTTGCGCAAAAGCTTGTACAACGACGTTCGTGTCTTCGTGCAACTGCTCGCCGGCCAGCCGAGACCTTCTTAGCGGTCTCGATCGACGGCCCGAGGCCGTTTGCCCCGTGCACTTCCTCCGTCGCCTTCGATTCCCCAGAACGCGTCCCTCCGCGTTACGCGGAAGATCACGCACGTGCGATAGATCGATCTCAGAAGACCCCGCGAAATGATTTCGAGTGACGAATAAATTGTATTCTCTCGTTATAAGAAATTATTCTTGTACGCTCGGGAGACGTTCTTAATTTTTTCTAACGAATAATTACAATAATAATAATGAAATGATACTAGGGTGGCATTGATAACGACACGAACCGTAAAGTGTATCATCCATCGATACATGTAATTAATGTAGGAAGTCTCCAGTCTCAATAATTGGTCGAATGCGTTACTCCTGGCTGTGTCTGACCACTGACGGTATTATCTACTTACGCGCGTGGCTGGCTCCGCGTATCTTCGTCAGTTGTGCTCGTTTTCAATACTGAACTCCTACAATATTTACCTCGGAAATCTTTATTTATCCTTTCCCAATTACTTGTAAACATTTATTTAAAAAATTAAAGAATCTTACCATTTCGAATCCATCCACTAAAATTGTTTTAACAAGGAAGAGATTAATGCCAAGAAACGTAATATTTCTACAGTTATTATTTAATTCCCACGTAACGGTATTATCGTATTTTTTTTTTATTGAATGAAATTCTTACGAGCAGTTGCGTAACAGCGTGTGATTCCGTTGGAACGTTAAATTATAGTCATCCTGGTCGCGATCCGGTCTGCTGAACTAGAGATTAGGATTTTGGCCTCAAGAACCGTTTTCACGGCTGAAATTTACATACTTGAATTTTGGCGAGCCTGGAATTCCTCGAGCTAGCCTCGATTCTTTGAATGTTTCGATGCCGAATGTCGATGAACCTTCGGAGAACGTGGCACAGACGGCGACGTTACGTCTGACTCCATCCTGATTTATCTACTTTCACAACCGTAGTTTTGAATTCGGAATACGTGGAAGATTCCCTAGAACTATCGAGAGGCTTTTAAAGTCCAATTCCCCATCGATCTTTTATTCAATTTCACAGATATTTCATGGTTTCATAGTGAGACTAAATTCGATTTCATGGTGACCTCTGAGACCTACTTTTTTCCGTCTTTTCTCCGTGAAATAACCTTTCTCAAAACCTTCGATCGTCGAATTGAAATTCCGTCAAAATTCCGCGGTAAACCTAATGGGTTAATATTTGCAAACAATCCCGAAACCACCATCGGGGGGTATGTTTGCCTCAAAGTGAACGCACGGGGGAACGAAGAAGAATGGAGGTACGAAAACACGAACGGGAGAGGGACCAAGATGAGAAGGTGAACGACCTCTCGAGCGCCGAACGGCTTAATATTTCTATACAGGCTGTGACGCATAAATTACGAGAAGCGTGTGCACGGCTGGAGGAAGGAACAGGAAGTACCGCGGCGCCGACACACGATTTGACAAAGTATTATCGATACGTGACGAGAAAGTCGAGCCTTTGTTACGTTGGACGCGCGTGGGATTGCCATTCGCTGCACGAAGAACGCTCGCTCGATTTTCGTGGTATTGCACCGCGGGACAGAATGTTTGAACACGTCCCTCGACCCCGATCGGCCATCTTGGCTTCTTTAAAATACAAACGTGCTCGAATTTCCGCGCTTGCCAATACCTGAAATCGTCTGCGAAAATCGCAGGTGGAGGAGTTCTTGTTCGAATAATAATTCGATAGAGTTGAAATTATAGCGGATGAAAAAAGCGGAAAATCAGAAAAATTAGACTCACTTATTCATAAAGAAACTTACTTCGAGACAAAACGTACTACTCGCCGTTGACTCTCGGTTTTCCTGATTGCAAAAGGATCGAGACTCAAACCCCATCGAGATTGACAAATAGGACAGCGACGCGTGGAAAATTAATAACCGAAGGTTCGATGCCTGGCGTCGATACTCCCCTGGCCCGAGACGTCCCGGTGTCAGACTATACAAATGACCAGTGTCAGAGCATGGCGAATTAAAAGTGACGATGTACGATTTCGCAAGAGGTCTATTGTCTACGCTGACAAAAGGAACGCTGCGTGCCGTTTTTCTTTTCTTTTTTTTTTTTTATTTCCATACAGTTCTCGAGGAGAATGCACATTTACACTGGGGATAAGGAAGCCGTAGCACAGGGAATGACAGACGTTATTGATACGTGACGAGAAAGCGAACCCCTCCTTTTGCGGGCCCGTGTGGGATTGGCATTCGTTGCGCGGCGCTGCAAATGGGAATGAGTCGGGATGAACCAGGACGTCGGTATGCAAACTGATTCAACCTCGGACTTTTTCAACTTTCAGTAGACGTGTCGCGAAGTGGGTTGTTTTATTCATTTATTCAGGCACAATCGATACAATAATTTTCTGGAAATTATAGAAATTTAGATACTTCTTAATTTAATTTAATTCTATTCGTCACTATGTTTAAGGTATGGATTATTTTGCTTTAGAATAATATTTTTACTCTTTTTTTTTATATATATGGTTAATATGTTTCACATTTTGAAATAGTACGTTTTGCAAGATGACCAGACCAAACTTAGAAGGAATTAAAAGCTCACATGACGATACATTATGCACACTGGCGTTCGAACAATATCTGGAGAGAACGAGTCTGGTCTCGCTCCTAAATCTCCCATTCCTATTGCCGCAATAATACTCTCGTATATTTCTGACGTTTCCGTGAAGGGGGAAATGATAAAGTTCCTCGTTGCAGAAATTTCACAGTTGCAGTTTTTCGCAACAACGAGGAACAATTTCACAATTCTATCCTAGGAGAACTATATTTTAGATCTCTGCTGGAAAGAGTGCATCCTCCAACGTAGATTCAAACATAAACAGTCTTTCTTGGACCCTATATATCGAATGTACAAAAATTATTTAACGTTTTAAAGAATTTTATTTTTCCAATTTTACTCATGATTTAAAATAAAAGAATCTAATAGCACATATGATAGTTTATAGAGTCAATAATACATCCTGCTCAGATCGAGTCTCGTACAATTCTCAACGCTTCTCAACAAATGACAAGTCTCCTCCCAAATCTTCTATCTGTTTCCAATTCTTTAACGGTCTAAAGATTAGAATCGTGAAAGGAAATTTACGCCACTTTTTCTTGCCGACCCACAAACAGGAGAAATTCCGCCAGAGTCACCGACTCTCCTCGCGCGTTCGTGACTGTGGGTCGTAAGTATCCGCGACGAAACGTCTAGGTACTTCATCCTGGACGATTTAAGGGATTAAGTTGAATTGCCTCACTGGAAATAACCTTAGCAGTTTCTGCCCGACCGCGCATAAGCGAGCACGCGAGCTCCAGAACTTTCGGCAATCGTGGCTGAATTTTTGCCATTCCGACAGACCGCACGCCACCTGAACCTTCTTACGAGTTCCTTCCGCAGATATGATCATCGACGGAAACGTAGAACCCAATCATTACAGAGTTTTCAATGTAATAAATTGAACGGTTTGATTACGTATTTGTTAGATTTGTTTCAAAGATGAAATATTTCAAAGCTCTTGTACGTCAAAAAAGGTCCATACAAAAAAAGCCTTCCATCCAGTAACAACGTCGCAATAGAAACAAATAAACCTCATTCTAAATATTCCACAACATATTATCACCGCCATAATTTCACCGTGTGGACAATTCTATGATTTAAGTCAAGGTATATAAGTTAAAATTTCTCTGGGGTTAATAGTTTGTCCCCAGCAGTACGCACGCAGGTGATTGCGCGTCGAAAAGTTTTTGTCGGCCGGTTAACCAGACCAGCGTGCCCGTGAACACGTGCAATTAGCTGAAATGGTGGATGGTAACCTCTTTAGCCGTAATGCATGTTAGAAAGTGCGCCAACGATTCAGCAAAATTGCGACGAACACGAACGGACACGTCGATACGCACGCGGACGCTGACCGAGAAATACGCTTGGTTGCGCGCTGAAATCTGCAGCTGAAATACTATTATTTACACCCGAAGAAGTAGACCACATTATTCATCGATTAAGTTTCCACATTTATGGTAAATCGCAATTTGCGTACCATTACAGTCGAACCTCCATTATTCCATCCTTGATTATTGTTACCTCTATCATTGCTTCCTTTTGCATTTAACGAAGCATGTCTCCCTGTAACATAGACAAAAATCAAGTCGAACCTCCATTATTGCAGCCTTTATTTCTACCTCTATTATTGCTTCCTTTTGCATTTAACGAAGCATGTCTCCCTTAGATATAAAAAAAAAAAAAATGGTTAATGATTTCTATTATCATGCTATATGATTCCATTAAATTTTCAACTTAAATTCCAAAGTGCCATTACGTCTTCGGAGAGTGAAACTCGTTGAAACACCTTTGGTCGTCGGTTTTATACTCCACTCGTCGGAAAAATTCCCGTCGCACGTATGTGCGTAGTGCCGCGTTTAGTTTAGTACCCCCATTTTCCCCGCTTTTCGTAACGAACGATCGTAATTCCGTTATCTTGAGCCATTCGACCGGTCGCTCGAACTTTTAGCCAGTTTATCGCGGCTTGGTTTCGTTTTATCGTCGCGAGCGGCGAGCGTTTCTTTGTGTCTTCCATACGTGCCGATAACGAAACTGCACTCGGC